AGCCAGAAATCCGGATTCTATGGAGTAGTTTAAGTCAGAAGGAAAGAGAAGGTGATGCTAAAATCCTATTTATATTAAAAAAAAAATACAAAAGCTTCTTTTCTTCAGTACAACAAATATCAAATGTGGTGAGATGCTATCTTTCCTTGAAGCTCTGAGCTCTTTTCTAATCAGCACTTATCCCATACAGCTCTCTCCTGGCTTGGCAGTGAGCTGTGTTCCCAGTTTGTGTTCTGGCTTTGTCTGCTGCTCTTTTAGTCTGTTTTTTTTTTCCTACCGACATTTCAGACACATAGTAATTCACAGATGTCATAAGCCACAGTTACACCAAACTATCTAACAAAGAGTTAGCTAATTTGTTCTAACAATTTATCTTTCTTTTTTTTAAAAATTTGAATCTTTCAAAGAGATAGCTACATTTTCCAGAAGGTATCATGTTATAAAGACATCAGGAGATTGAGTCTTTTTCTTCCCTTAGCAGGTTGTTCATATGGTTAATCACCTTCACTAGCAAATATCTGTGCTTGATTTGTCACCTGATGTTTCTTGAGAACAGTTTTCAGCTTCTGATGTTTTTATTCTTTCTTTACTACATTTAAAGGCCTTCAGAAACTGCTGAGTCCTTCTTATGAAAGTACTTACACACTGTGATTAATTAATTAATCTCTTGGTGTACTTTTTGATGAATTAAATAGAATGAGCTCTTTAACTCTCACTGTAAAACATTTCCCTCAGTACTCAGTTTCTGTGACTCTTCCTTGTACCTTTACCAGTTCATCAATGCTGCAAAATGTGGATACCAGAATTGAAAATTAAGTATTATTTCTATCCTATGTTGAGCTTAGCTTAGCTACCTATCTCTGCTCTGCTTTTCTGCATTAGTCTTTGGGTTATACATGCAACAGCTGAATTAACTTCATTGCAGGAGCTCTAGGATTCATGCTGAGTTACTTATCCATTGTAGGCTTTACAGTGTTTTAGAAGACCTCTGCTTTCAGTGATGTCATGACACTTCTGGTGTAATAATGTTCTAAAGCTTGAATGGCTGGGAGAAAAAAAGTAAAGAACAGTCTGCTGGGTTGGTTAAGTTTCGACTGGTAACTGGTGCAAAGGAGCAAGTGCACAGCTCTGAGCTCACCAGTAGCTGCTTGCAATGAGCTGCTGTGCACTGAAATGGCTGTGGTCCGTGTTGCATGTAAAACTGGGAAGCTTAGATGTCCTACAGGAGGCCTTGACACAAATATCCATGGCTATGAACTGTGGTCTAAGCACAATCTTATTCTATTGCAAAGGCTTTAAAGAAACCATACTGGATAATCAGCCTGCTCAATCAGCAACCAGAGACATTTCTTGACTTCAGGGTCATGCCCTAATTTGCATTTTTTTTTTAAGTTTGATTACAAGAAAAGGGAACACATCTCTCACTAGCACCAAGGAAAATATATAGCACTACACAATGAAGTGGCCAAAGGATAATATAAATTGGAAAACCAGAAGATTACTCCCCAGGGACCTAATTTTTTCCTGTGGGTTATTGCGGCAAGAAAAGCTGGTTTGTTTGTTTTAAATACCTATTAAACATCTGGAAAAGTCATGTGCCAGGTGTGAACTAAATGGAAACTAAAAGTCTGGGGGTAAGGCCCCAACTTTGTATACAAGTTCCCAAAGTCTGTATCACCAAATCCATTGTGCTAAATGGGAGGTCCACTATTTTCACCTCTGGTCTGGAAATGTAAGCCCACAAATCTGAGTACTATCCTTTTAACTGAGGTCTTCCATTTATTTATAGGAGTTTTAGTTTTTCACTCTGTATTCTGGACTACCTCATGCAAAATAGGGCTAGGTAAAAAAGATAACCTGCGCAAAGACTTGATGTCAGGATGAGATCATTTGGGTAATTTCTAGTTTGCCACATTCTTCCACATGTAATCCAGGTGCAACCGGTCCTCTCCACAGAACTTTCAGGCTAACTCCATTATATTAATTTGAATAGGAAATCCTCATAAGCATTGCAATTACCATTCAGCTGTACCTATATTTTAAAGAGGTAATAATTCTGTTACTGGTTGTATGATGAAATACACACAGGACCTTTTTTTTTTCACAGGGAAAGATCAGAGATACATATAAAGCTAAGCTAAAGATATAAAGCTAAAAATGAAGCTAAGTATATGGCCCTTCATCTGAAAGCTGCTTTATCCACATTCTCAATCCCCATTTTATTTCTGACAAAGCCTCTCTGAAATCCATGGCTTTGATAGAATTGAAGGAATCCAGGTTAAACGCAGTTTGAGGTATGTATTTAACAATTTTTTTAAAAAAGAGTTGATTCTTGATGTATTGCCTTTTTGTAGAATGTATGTTGGAAAACAAAATGATTTACAACAATTTAAAGTGGAAGTTCATGAGATTTACAGACTGTATACACTGATTAGTATTTAAGCTTATTTAAAAGGGATTCCATGGGCTTTGCCAGGAACATATATTTCGAAAAATCCATATCAAAGTACTGATATTAATACCTTGGATTTTTTAAAAAAGTATATTACAATTTAGAATTAAAAACACAGTAAATTTCTACTCTGGAACAGGCAAATTTATTTGGCAATATCAGATTCAGGGTTGAAAAGGATAAGATACATCGAGTTAGTTTCAAGCATGTAATAGATAAAAAATACTTGCTCAATCTACTTTGTATAGATGAATGATTTTTTTGGCATATAATACAGATATGGTTGACAAATATTCATGTGTTTTGCTGAATTTGTAAAGTTACTTTGTCTGAAAAAAAGAGTAAAAAGTATTAAAATGAATAATTTTTACTTCTGAAGTACTGTCTGATCCTGGTTTCCAGCAGTGGACCTGATCCTGAGCCTCACCCAAATGTTCATGTCCCATCTGAGCTGCATCCCATCCTTTTCCCCAGGGAGGTGCCTGGTGCAAGGGGCTGAGGCTGCCCTGGTGCCCCCCAGCTGTCCTCCTCCTGGCTGGGATGCTGGGACAGGGCTGTCAGGGCTGGAGAACAAAGGTGGCAAGAAAATTAGAGAAGGAACAAGTTGCTTCTGACCAAAGTCAGCCCTAGAAGGGAAGGGTATCCGAGGTGGGAGCAGGGCAGGTTACCCAGGAGAGATATAGAGACACTGTCCAAGCACTCAGAGTGGACTTAGGGAAACCAAAGCCCATCTGAAGCTGAATCTGGCAGGCAATGTGAAGGGCCACAAGAGGGGCTGTCACGAGTAAAGCAGCAGGTCTTTACTGGTAAGGTTTTTGTTCAGTAGTTCCAAGTCCAAATAGTGCCCATTGACAGGGTTGTCAATTGGCATAAACTGTGATACATGAAATTCCAAGAAATAAGGAAATATTTTTACTGTGAGGGTTGTCAAACACTAGAAGAAACCCAGGAAGAGTAGCTATCCTTTGAGAAATTAAAAATCCAGCTTGACGTGGAACAGGAAAACCTGTTCTTGTTGACCTTACTCTGAGCAGGGGTCGTGCCATAGGTGATCTCCAGAGTTCCCTTCCCAGCTCAGTGACCCTCTAACTCAGAGAAGCCACTTATGCTCAAAACACCTGAAAATTAGCCCTTTTGTTGGGAAGCCTCTACTGGAATTTGTTTACTTCCTGAAGCCATAGAAGAAAGGTAAGCCATTTAGGCTCTGTACCAGGAATTGGCATTCTTAATTATCTGACCAATTATTTTATTAGACACAAAAAAGAGACTGAATTTTAAAGCTGACATCAAGGTCTTAAAACTAACTTAGAGGTAGTCTGAGTCATCTCTTCTGAGACTTCAGACACTGCTCAAATGGCTTCCCATCAAAGCCCTTCACCATCTTTGCATCCCTCCTTTGAATGCTCTCTAAGAGTTTAATGTCTTTCCTATATTGTGGTGCCCAAAACCATGCACAGGAATTAAGGTGAGGCTGCACCAGTGCAGAGCAGAGCAGCACAATCACCTCCCTTGACCAGGCCTGATAGACCCTAGGACATGGCTGGCATTCATTACAGCTGCCAAATGAATGATTTACCTTCTCTCCTTTTACATTTCAGTAAACTGCAGCAATGGGCTGCTGGCGATAAAATCTCATTGGTTCTACAATGTGAAAATGGACCCTATTTCCTTTAATAGCATGGCAGATCGTATTGGTGGTTTTTTGTTGGTTTTTTTTTTTGTTGGTTTTTTTTTGCCAGTAAAGCCATTAATTCTGGTTGCGAACATGAATTAATTAAAATAATTTTAATAGATGGTTTTACAAGGAGAGCTACTTTTTTTTTTTCTCACAGAAAAAGATAGAAAAATATAGAAATACTTCTTATATCTTTAAACTATACAATGGCTTATGAGACAGAAAAAATAGAGTCTAATGCATCTTTCTAGATTATGCTATAACAAAACTAGCCCTGGCTGGAAGACATTCAAATAGAAATATTTGAAGTTATTTCCAGATTGCTAGAATCATGTTATTCCTTAAAATGATATGGTATACAGAGGCAATTTTTAGGTATGATGCTATAAAGAATACATTATTCCAACCAGTTGAGACAATTTAAACTAGAAGTTACAGTGAGATCTCCTGCAGAAATGCCAATTAATTGCAATTGTTTGTGCAAAAGAATAAACTTTACACAAAGAGCCACACGTCTGACAGGTGTACATAAAAGAGGGAATTCTTAGGAAAAAATGTTACCATTAAGGAAGTATTCCAAATGTCAGCTTTTTTTTATTTTTTTTTTTTTTTTGCTGCAGGTTCCTTAGCTTTTGATTTTTGATGAGTGATTCATGTGCTATGTTCTTGTTTAGGCCTGTATAACTGTTTGTAACATAGAAAATTACATCTATCTAATCTAGAATTCAGATGGACATGGCAATAACAAAAGTTCTTGTATTTCTAATAATATGTTGTTCTTTTACTCTTAGGAAAAAATGCAGGTATTTTTCACAGACATGATGTAAAGTCTTGCTTAGATTTATGGCGTGCATATTGAAGTTATTTTTATTTGAAGAATTTTCTTGCTGTGGCTCCCGGAGTAACTGAAGTGCATGTTTTCATTGCAACACATACTGTGCATTCCTTTCTTGGTGAGTTAACAGTGAATGGCATTATCTGTGACTGTCCAAAACATGTTTATTCCAAAAGAGTGGGTTTTCATAAGCGAATAATTAGTTTGTGCCATGCTCAAAGGAAAAATGTTTCATCATGCTTGCACCGAACTACAGGAGTGTGTGAAATACTGCTTGGGTACATAGGTCTTATTAAAAGAGTGATTCTGTGTTGGAATATATAGATACAATGGCTGTGATTCAAACCTTCTCTTTATTTAGAAAATAATAATAATTATTATTTTCCAGAAGCTGTAGCAGTTGCCTTACAGTGTGCCTAAGACTCCAAGGGAAGATAAAGAGCCTACATTATAAGTAAGTGAAAGCCAATTGCTAGAGATAAATAGAAGAATCTACAGCAAAAGTAAGGCAGACCCATACCACAGCTTCATCTTACTGGTACCGAAACCCTTGACAATTCTTTTTGGAAACTGGTTGGCAAGAGAGATTATTAAGAAAGAATTAAGACTGCATAATGAAATGTATTTTTTAGCTAGAAACTTCTCACAAACAGAAAGAAAAGCATGGGAGAACACATGAAGATTTTAGTGAGTGAATAAGGGCAGTGTTATTGGAATGGGAAAGAGTAAAATATATTATTATAGGAATACTGTCTTTAGACAGTGTAATACTGTCTAAATTCCTATGCTGCTTTCAGTACAGAAATTCTACCATGGAATCTCATGCACTTGCTTTGTCTGTGTAAGCAGATATCTGCAATGTAACACTGGCCCTGGAGACGCTCGTATGTGAACAATTTAAATGTACCCTGCAAATGAAGACCTAGGGAGTGATGTGAGTTGTAGATACCTTACAGAGGCAAAATGCTGGTCCAGTATGCACAAAGAAAACTGTGCTTGAGTGAACAGAGAGCCAGCCTGGGACTTCTGTTTGATCTAAAGAAGATGGACATATAGCAAAAAGACAGCCCTGTGAGGCGCTTGCTCAGAGATAGCAACTGAAAGAATGTTTGCCTAAGTGATTACCCAGGCTATAGGTGGTAGCTGAGTTAATGTTTGCAGAGGAGATTACCCCAAAATATGGTAGGTGTAGTAGGATGACCATTTTCCAGTTTAACATTTTAATTTTGGAAAATATTACCTTGTAAGAAGTGCAGCATTTTGTAGAGGAAATTATTCTTCAGTGTCAAGAATCCTACTGGTAAAGATTACAGGAATTTTGACTTAGGAAAACAGAATTTCAGTTGACTTACCAGGATTATATTTGGAGAATATCTCACAGGAAATAGATTTTTTTGCTATTCTACTTCTGAGTGGGAAAAGTATTAAGATCTCAGTGAAGAAGAAATCTTGGTTCTTATCTAGGCTAGACTCTCTGGACTCTGTGGTGACATGAAGCTGTTTCTGGTGTTCCATGTCAGTCCATACATGGAAAATACGCAAGAAGTGGTGGTTGTTGGACAAGGAAGAGATTATTGAGATTTTACTGAGTGATTTCCACTGAATGGATTCTCTGTTGCATGTCAGTCCTAGGAAGAGATGAGTGGCTTGAAAACAAGATCATCTCTCGGACAAAATCAGTAGGACTCTGTGAGTCCATACAGACAATGCTGCTGCTTCAATCCCTAGGAGTACTGCTTTCAGCTGCCCCTTAAAAAACTAAATATGTTCCTTTGGAGTCATATTTGGGTGTGTGATTTCATGAAACCTATGCCAACCTCTATTTAATCTCAGCCAGCAAGGGCAGTAAAAGTGTTTGGCTATAAAGAGGGCAGAACCTGTTCAGGCTGGGTTCTACCTGTTCTTTGCTAACCAGGATACGTGTAGGAGCTTTTCTTGACTCCATGCAGGTTTCTGCTGGCTCTGTTGAACTTCAGAGCAGAGCTGGAACTGGGTATCACCACTTTTCCCCTCCTAATTTCCCTGCCCAGAAGAAGAAATGGAATAAACATGATCAATACACAGACGTACCGCAGCTTTCTAAAATATACCATTTTCTTGCATTGGTGGCTTTTTCCATTGTACTTGACCATTATTTCATTTTAGCTAATTCTTAGTGTTTTCATCATTATATAAAGTTGTACAGCAGATGTTATGGGAAAAGACATCTTAAATCATATGCTGAGTAAATACTGGAGGAATCTTATATGCTCTCTGTTTTGTGCTCAGTAGAAGCTTGCAAATTTCTCCTAACTCAGCTCTTGCTAGCAAACTTCCGCACTGAAATCATAATCATATGAGCTGCTCATGGTACAATCATGAGAAAAATGTTTGTGTGTGAACCAGCTGAGTGTGTTCACAGGGGGAAGAATTCAACCCAGCAATGCTATGCATTTAATAGCTTTATCCATTCAGCTTTATAGCTTGCCATTGGGTGCAGATGTTTTATGACTTGTAACAGTTTAATGTGTCCTGGTGGATTACCCTCCAAATTTCTCTTCATCAAAGCACTTGCTCCAGGTAACTGGAATGTCAGATTTAAATGAAGTGCGATGCGAGAATGGGGATTGTCAGATTTTAAATGAAACACACAGTGGTGCTAACTAAAGTTCTAAGCATGGTATGACATTTCCATGGCCTGCCTTACAGGCTCTTTCTACACCTCTTCTTTCAGTGTGCAAATTATTGTAGAGAAAGAGGTAAAACAGTCATATAGTGCATTCTAGTACAGCAAACTGCCAGCTTAAAAATTATCTGAAAAGAGATAATGTTTTTTGTGAATTCAAAGTCAGACAAAAGGTGTAACAGACAGGGCAGCACCATTTCATTCCCCAAAGATCACCAGGCCCAGATGGGCACACTATTCTTCACAGTGAATGAGCCTTTGCCTCGCTCCTTCTTTGGTCCTCCTCCTGTTACCCATGTCCCTTGGGGCCATGAATATGCCCAGCCCTGCTTTCCCTGTCTTTACAGGCATTTCTTCCATCTTGATCTTCCAAACAGGCATCCTATTCCTTCCCATCTGACCCCATCCCCTTCATTGCTCATCCCAGTTGTTCTGGTTTAGCATTAGTGAAAAACGGAAGCCTCTGGAATGCTTTTGTTGCTACACAGAGCTGAGTGGTCAGGGGATCCATGCTGGTAGTCCCTAGGGTCTTTGAGTGCCTTCTTTTTCTCCTTTTGCAGAAATTTACTGAAGCAATAAATCTAGTGCAATGATGGAGAAAAACTAAGGCAGGGGAACTCTGGAGACAGGGAGAGGAAAAAAGAGCAGTAACAGCACGATAGGGGTTGTGCTACTTTTGCCTGCCTCATGTTTTACTGTCATGTTTTTCTATAAAGCTTATGTACTATGAGAGGGGAAGGGAAAACAAAAATCCTTTCTGACGGAGAATAAATTGCCACAAAGGTCCCACATGGCAGTGAAGTCCAAATTTCTGAACATATGGAGAGCCAGCATAAAGTAGGTTATCTGAAACCTAAGAAGTCACAAAGGTGGCACAGTAAATGGTATCTTTTCCTGAGGCAGAGAATGAGGTAAAGACAATCACAGTGCCAAAAAGACAATGCATGTCATGCTGAAACAGATAGAGTACAAACCTCCAAGACCTCAGAGTGTGTCAGAGAAGAGATCTTTAGGTCTTTCTGACAGGTTTTGCATGTTTAACTATTATTAGCAGGACAAAAGGCTGCTCATGGTTATTACTGAGGTGCCAACCTCCCCTGGTTCAGTCTTTTTATTTGTTGTTCTAAGAGGAGTGCAAAAGAGTCACTTATTTTCTGTCTTTGCACGTTTAGGCTGTGGGAGCTGGGGGGAAAAGTTTTCAGATTAAAAGTCAAGATAAAGAGTCAGAAAACACTCACTCACCTGAAAGGAAACAAATTACTTTTATTTTCCAAAAATGAGGAAACTTTGGAAGTCCTCAAGGTGTTACTCTATAAATACCACTGAGAAAATAATTTGCATGGATAATATCCTTTGGTGTTCATTAACAAATACCTGAGAGCAATATTTTAAATCCTTCTGGCTATCACTGTTGTTTGTATTTTGTAAATAGTGAGACAATCTTAGGATCCCAACTAACATTATTGTTCTGCTGTGCTAAGTACTTTTTGTAATTTATGGGTCTGCTGGCCTGCTGTAACTCAAACTATATTTTAATATAATAATAATTTAATAATATATTATAATAATTTAATAATATATAATATTATTTTGTGGTCTGTGAATTGTGTTGTGTTTCATTTGGATCTGTCAACTGTACTTCCTCATATATGTGGTATTGTTTCTGTTTTCTAGGTTGGATGGAGAGAACTCACAACATTATTGCTATTACTGCAGCAGGCAGCAAAATTAAGATCTGAGAGATTTTCAACATATAACCTCCAATTCTGCTTCCCATGAGTATTTCATGCAGGTTACATTGAAACTGAAAAAAGAAGGGCAGGGTGAATGTGACTTTATGCAAATCTGTTGAGAATGTGGAATAAGTATTCACAAAAAGGCTTTTTATGCCTTACTTATTCCTCCTTAGTTAAATATATGACACACATCAACTATGGCAGGTAAATGTGCACCTACAGAAAGAAATCTGGTGAGAATATGATAAAGGTCTTGCTTGGCTGAAACAGAAATTACCAGTAGACTTGGGTGCACAAGTTAGTCTTGTGATGATGATGATGATGATGATTCACTTGGGGGAACTGTGAGGGGTTTGTAAAATGACTTACATAAATTTGTAGTTATTGCATAAATGCAAATATTTAGATGGAGTGTTCACAGTAGTTTGCCACAATAGGGAAAAGCAGTCATAGGGGAAGGGTTTTTTTCCATCTCACTTATGTACGTAACCGTTGTCCAAGACACTCTGTACACTCCATGGAGAGATACAGACACTTTAAGGAAGTGATTCATCTCAGTTTTAGACATCTAAAATAAGGCAGATGGAACAGTCTATCTCTCTTCACAGAAGAACTTTTAGTCTGAATTGCATCCTAACAAGCAGGCCACTGGTTGGAGAATATTACCACATGCAGGCAAACACAGATCATGTCTCAGCACCCTGCCACCAGTATGGTCAAATATTAAGTGATAGTGTCTGTCCATATAGCAAATTCTTTTTCAGCTGCAGTAGAAATATCTGGTGAATCAATCATAATTGTGCTTAAATGTGTAGTCAAATATACACAACGCAGAACACACTGTTCCAGTCAATCAGGAATTAACCCCCACCATGCAGAAAAGTTTCAGTTTGCATTTGTGAAGTTTGTATTAAGGAAGAACAATGCTGGTGTGACTGTAAATTCAGAATTCTTTTCCCCAGAATAATTGAGTTTGGTTTGGATTTGATTTTGCAAAGATGCAGAGCATTTTCTGGATGTACATTTCCCTGACTTCTTGGAAGAGAAGGACACGGTGCCTCATGAGATCAAGTCCTCACACCATGCAGGATGCCTGTATCTGAACTGCTGTGCTCCTTAGATGTGTCACATTTTGAAATGCCCTGCAAAACTATCACTTACCTTCCACTACTGCTGCCAGATGCCAGACAAAATGAGTCAGGTGTCTAAGACTGGCTGATTGGCCAAGCTCTATCTATAATTGATGGAGACAAGCACTTTGGAAGGGAGATTCAGCTGGTCTATGGAGATTGTGAATCACATTGCCTCTCTCTTGCCCCTAGTTACTTCTTGGCACCCTTCTTGGCACACCACCTTTTGTGGCACCTTTCAGTTGCACTGATACTGCTCTTTGTGTCTGTGGCATTAATTAAAAAGCTTAAATTATCTGGGATTAAAAAAAAACAAACACAAAAAACCAAAACAAAAACTAAAACCCAAGCACTGTTCCACATACTACCAGTTAAAAGGAAATCTATTCCCTGCCTGTACCTTATTGTGTGTTGGTGTAGAATTTTATGAAAATCAATCAATTTTTAAAACAGCAATGGCAATCTATCCAGGGAACTAATTTAAATAAAAAATGTGCTTTTGTTGTGTCTTCTGTGCTTTTGTCCAGGCATTAAAGAATAAAATAAAAGGATGTGTGTTAAACAAAATTGCCTGCTTTGTAGTTCTTAACTCTCCAGTTCTTTCCCTGCCTGGCTCAGTCCTTCTCAAGCCCTGCAGATCCTGGGGGAGGGAGTATGTACTAAATTCCTTTCACCCTTGGTAAACATACTTTGCACAATCTAAACCAGGGTAGTGTTACACTGCTTTGCTGGACCTTTTGAGAGCCCTGAAAGGGAAAAGAAAAAAAAAAAAAGGATAGTTGACATCTGCATTTTACTGGAGTAGCTACAAGCACTGTCTGTTATGGAAGAGAGGGAGAGGGACAATGCTCAGGATTTTGTACTGAAGGGAGCTAGCCTGAATTTTTGGGCCTCATGTCTCCCTTCCTTCCTTGCCTGAAGGGCACTAAGCCCACCCTGACTCTCACAGATACTCCATGGCAGGCAGGCTGCAGGAGGGACATTTTACTGCAGATGAGAGGCAACCTTTGTTTCACATTCTAAATGCAATTCTCTTACAAAAGGATTCTGCCTTTTGCATTTTAATAATATATAGGCATTTTCATTGCTGGTCTTATTTTCACAGCCTTTCCTCCTTTCTCTCTGAAGTAAAAGTTGCTCCATGCAGTTTCTTAGGATCTAGTGCAATAGCACTAGTAATTACAATGAAATACTTCATGTTCAAATAAATAAATAAATAAATAATGCTAGATTTACAGTTAGGGTCATGGATGCTGCTTGTGGACATCTGAGTCCCTGTAATTGCAATTTTTGTTTTACATCTGCTTTAGAGAGAATGGAATTGCCCCAACAAATGTTAAATGCCTTTTTGAGATGGTCTTTGATTACTAGCACAGGAACTTGGTTATTTGCTTTGTGCTCAGGATGTGTGAGAACCAGCTCTCCTTTTTAGTTATTTTGGTGCTCCAAATGCATTCATTATTAAAATTACCTAGCACAGTCCTCTCATACCCTTTTTGCAAGCAGCTTGCTGTAAGGGCTTGATATTTGGAACTCAAGCTGTTGGTACCCAGCCACAGAATTGACCCCATATCTATTCCTTCAGTGGCTGAACATAGCTAACATACAGGAGAGGGCTTTGAGAATCCACTGAGGATTTGCTTTCCCTGAGAGAGATAGCAGATAAACAGGATTAGAGTATTTACACAGTCTTGAAATCTGGGTCGGCTGGGTCTCGTTCAAGGCATCCTTTTTATTTAGCAGAAAGATTTGATTGACTGAGTGCAGTGTCAACATTTAGCTTTCTGTCCTCACTTCACACAAGCTAATCATCTGAATACAGGTGGCTCCAAATGCAAAAGGTATGGTCAGGTTTTTTACCTGGCTTGTGAACTGGGTCAGCCCAAGGCTGTGGTGGATGGTTTGGGAAGGACCATCCATATCCTCTATCAAACAGTATCCCAGCTCTGCTGAAGTTCAAGCCTTAGTTTTGCTATTGATCTTGTCTTAATATAGATGAGAATTGAATTCAGCAGTAGATTTGCCTGTGTGAAGGGTCTTTGTTAGGGTTTATCTTGGCTGAGCAGTCACATGGAGTGTTGAACTTCAGGGTGAGCACAATGCCTGCAGCTGAGTTTGTGTGTGCAGAACCACACGTTGGGGCTAAAGCTCAAGAAGTTTCCACTGGTGGCAGCTCTTCCTCCTACCCTGTCCCCAGTGTCCTGCTTGCTTTCCTTTGCCACTGTTAGCAGATACTCTTTGCACTGGTGTAGCTGCACTCAACCAGGCCTCCCAAATCATCTACTTAAAAAAGTCCCTTGCCTTCTTTCCAGGAAAAACAAAACAAAACAAAACAACCTTTCAGTGAAGATATTTTCTTGCATGCAGCTTATGGTACAAAGAAATTAAGGTGGCATAAAGATGAAGGGTTGTAGATTTTTATGGAAGGAAGCACATAGTGTAGCATGATGGTATGTTACATAGCATCCAAAAATCTGAAAATGTAGCACAAGATCATGATTTGGTGATATAAAATAAGTAAATAAGTAGTGGCAGTTCTGACCTCAGTCTCCCTGTTCTCTATTGTTTCATCGTTAGTTTTCTGGTTTGTGTGTTTTTGTGGTGGGTTTGTTTTTTGGGTTTTTTTTGTTTGTTTGTTTGGTTTTTGTTTTGTTGTTGTTGTTTTTGTGGTTTTTTTTTTTTTTTTTTTTAATTTTTAATTGAATCTGTTTCCTGATTTGATGGATCTCTGCAAACGGTTGTGATGATGGAAACAGGAACAAGCAGCTGAGAGCAGGGAGGAGGGACAGCTTAAGCTGACATTTGGTGTCATTGACCACAGCCACAACATTTCCCAGGATAGGCAGTAGCATGGTATCTTCTCATCTAGTGACATTTCACAGGTTATCTTAATTCTAGTTAGATACACTTGTCTTTATTTTCTTCTCTATTGAAACTGTGCTTGAGCAAGTTAAAATAAAGATATCAGACTCAATTGTTTTATGGCATTACCATCAGCTCAAGGAGAACAGTTCTTTTTAGATTTTCTGGGCAATTTCTTTGAGCTAATACCCAGAAAACTAGAACTGCAAGGAAGCAAGCAAGACACTTAGCTTTGAATGACCTGGGTGGACTGCTCACTTGGGAGCAAGAATGAAAAAAATAAACCAGAGTTTATCACAAAAGATTTTTGCCTTACTGCCGCAGTAAAAGTGATACAGAAAAACATATTGATTCTCTGGGTGACTGGTAAAGCCACAGCACTGAAAGGATTCTTTGCAGTAAATTCGAGTTTAATTTTTCCATTCAAATGCCTTGAATAATGCAGCCCTCGTCTGCTGGTCACCTGCCTGCAGTGCTGTTTAAGATGATGATAGCAGTGTTTATCCAGGATACGATCCTGAATTGTCCTGCACTATCACAATTCCCAGGAGCTTCCTCGTGTGAAGGGTGTTGCATCACACATTGAGTGATTATCGGAGAACTTGCCCATTGCACAACAATAGAAGGGCTCTTCATTGTTTCTCTTTTTGGCTGCCATTCTCAGCCTGGCGAAACTACCGCTGAATTTTCATCAAACCAGCACCCTGGCATGTGCACATGACACACACACACACACACACACACACACACACACACACACACACACGCACTTGAGGCCGCCTGGCAATGCGAACTCGTTGTATATTCATCGCGTTTTCCTTGCGGCAGAGCCCTCTTAACCAAGGGAGCTCCGAAAAGCATCGCACCGAAAGGATTCTCCTGGAGAGGAGAGCTCCATCTCCGCCCGAATGGTGTCATATCCCCAGCCCTGCCTCCCCCCGGATAATGATGTGCTGCAAACCTTGTGTCTGTGGGGGGAAGGGTTTAAAAGCATCACACTGAGGCCGGGCATCCTGCCAGGGGGAAGGGACAAAAGTGAAGTGCGCCTGGAGGTTTTCTTTTTTTAGACAGTGATTACTGAAGGGGAAAGAAGGCCAGTCATCACAGGACTACAAAAAGACAAAAAAAGTATTTACTGTGGGTTATTGGCAAATACTTAAGTCTCACTTTAAACAAGAATTCCTCACCGGAGATAAAAAAAAAAAAAAAAAAAAAAGGACATAAAATGATTGTGCTTGAATGAGAGAGCCCAGGCTCAGCAGCTGTTTCAAAATCAGTGATTAAAATGAATGATATCTCTATGATTTCCCTTTTTCACTCCCAAACATACACAGATGTATTCATACTCATAAAATGTGTCCTAGGCACTTGAAGAAAAGGAAGGTGCAGAGGGCATGTCTTTGAAAATGAGTGACTTATTTTTACTTAAAAACTGAAAATTCAGTGTATGCAAGTCCCTTTGAAGAGATAAAATAACAGAGTTATAGAAATAGCAGGTCAATAAGTCTTATTTGCCCTGAGCTCTCTACAGAGTCATTCAGCTTCTTGTTGCAGTGAAATGAAGAATATTTATACAACTCAGAACCTCTGGCATCAGCAACAAAAGCCTCATGTCTTGTTGGCAAGGCAGAATTGACAAAAAAACTCTTATATCTGCTGTTTTGAATTTTTTGAGGAGCAAGGAGGGGGGAAAAGTCTCCACCAGCCATGTGAACCCTGTCATTGTATTAGCACTTGTGGACAAGGATATCTACAAGATTGCACTGTCTTTTCTGCACCTAAGGAAAATCATAATTATAAGCTTTGAATTCACATTCCTTGTTAGATGACAGCATGTTTAGGAAGCTTATGTCCCTGTTAAGCTTCTGACTTTTGAAATTAAATTAGACATGGCAGAGGGAGGGCTTGGGGGATGAGGGAATATTTTTTGGCAAGTGAATGCAAAACTGAAAAGCCAGATTTGCCAAGCATTTTTCCAGGGATGTGTGCATGATTTGCATGTCCCCACTCAGTCTCATAACACATCCTCAGTGTGAAACTGATGGGGAGTGGTTAGGGAAATGGCAGTGGTGGCTGAGAAATTAAGGGCAACATGAAAAATACTTGCGTTTTTTGATGCAAACTACTGGATCCTGGTGAATCAGTGGATTTGTTCCTTCTCCCCCCATGGAAAGTCTTCTTTTTCTTTTTCAGTAAGTGCTTAAAAATGAAACTGTGATCATTGCATTAGCACTGGTTTGTGAACCTCAGAAGAAGGTATCAAAATCTTTTGTAGCTAATCCAAAACCACAACAATGCATTTTCTTTTAGAAATCAGAGTAAAAATCTTTCAAGATCAAATTCCCTTGTGAGATTTCCACTCTTATATGTGCAGAAAATATCATGAGACTGTTCTTGCATATCACATCATTGCAGTAATTCTCACTGCAGGAATTACAGTTATGTGTGAATATTAAAGTAAATAAATAGCCAAGCTAAAAAGTTTTGAGTTCATTTCAGGTTATAGGCAATGACTTTCTATTGCTGATGCACTTTCTAAACTGCTTCCTTTTTCCTTAGGCTTTAATTTAGCAAACCACTTTAAAGCATCCTCAAATATAAGCATCTGGGTTTTCCCATCAAAGTCACTACTCTATTCACATATTTAAAGCCAAGCAGGT